GATTGATTCTGAATTTTTAGAAATCTCCCAAATAATTATATGTAAGCTTTCAGTCTATTAATTTATTAAATAGTAGTAAATAACCACATAAGCCTACTGGATCTATTGTTATAATTGAAATAAAATGGTACTAGGTACTCGAACTTAGTTCGTTCCAGAAGACTGTTCAAATACCGAACAAATTTTTCCCATAAAGAATAATGTAAATTAGATTAATCCTGTAAAGTACATTTATAAAAGTATTTTATCTAGAATTTACCACAAATTTAAAAAGAAGTTTACATGCATAACATGCTTAAATTTATATTTTAAAAAAGTATATCCACACACAATATAAAGTGGCAATGTACGCCTATTAATTTTACTGGATTAAACGGAAAGTTTTTGCATATTTTTAATAGCTGTCGTTACTTAACATAGGTGTGTTTAACCATCAAAATTTAATACTGTAGCATCAATCACCCTAATACACAAACCTCCCTATCAAATTTCAGAAATTTTCGACAAGAGCACGGGAGTTATTAAGCTTCAAAGTGAGTAAATAAAGTCATGTCTCCCACACACGCACTAGCATCCATATATACAGAAAAAAACCTCCATTTTTTGAATTTCTCGATGTTTTAAGGTTTTCTAAATCCAATAATATAAAAATCTTAGATCATTTTTTGACTGATCTCCATACTTTTCCTCTATATAATAGAAAATAGTAGCAGTTAATGTTAACAAGACACATCAAATGGATAATTCGGAATTTAATGTTTCCACAGCTGTCGAAAGGAAAAGCTGGGAATTTTCCCCGGGCCCAAAGAAAGTTTAGGGACCGGTTGGGGTTTCTACGTCTATAAATTAATGTTATTTTCAACTGCTATTTATTGATTAAAAAACATTCTACTTTTTTAATTTTTTTTATAAAAAGAAAACAAATAAACAAAAATTGGAAAAGAGCCCCGCTAAGGGACAAAAGTCTCTTGAAAACCCTGATGATAGAATGGTCTTTTACTTCACTATTTAACAAATGTTAAATTCACTTATTTTCTTAATGTTTACTAAATTTAATTATTATTATTAATTTTTTTATTATTTAAAATTTTTATTAAATATATAGACCATAATTCTTTTTCATTACAAAGGATACTGCTGATGGATAATATAACTCTACGTGTTGCTACTTTCTATGTAAGATTTATTTGATTAAATACAGTTCAATGTTAAGATAAATTATGCATTTTACTTTTTCCTAAATTCGAATTTTAGATTAATGGCCATGTCGAATTTTATAAAGAAAATAATAAAATATCGTTTTTAAATGGAGGTGCTATTTCTAGACTATTTTTGTTGTTGCAAGAAAAATTGAATTTCAGGTCAGAATTTTATTTAATAAATCTATTTCAATATAATTTAAATTTGTATAATAATATTAAGTTAAATTTATATAATCACATATTTCAATGAGATATAGTATGTTAAATATGACACGTCCTTTGAATAAATTTGACAAAAGAATCTGTTGATGTTATTGAATAAATTTAATGTTTTTCATTCGAGAATAAATTAATTTAAATATTAAATTATACATAAAGTGCTTAAAAAATTAAAAAATTATAATAATTTTCACTTTTTTTTAGGTATGAAATCGTTATCGAAAGAGCTTTAGGAAACAAATCACCAAATGGAAGTTGGAATGGTCGCATTGGTCTCTTGACAAGAAATGTAATTATTAAAAAATATTTAACATCTTCGAATAAAATTGTTTTATTTGTTTATAAATTATTGTTTATTTTATTATTCAAATAGTCTTTCTTTTCAATTTTATTTTATTTTAATTACATGTTAATCGAATAATAAAATATAATTATATTCCTGGAAAATGATTTAGACTCTCATCATCATAATCATGAAATGCTACGTCAATACGCTATAAGCTTTTAATGTTATTGTCATTGGGTGATTGTAAGCAAAGCATCAGAGGCACGTGTATAGTGTACTGGCTGTATGGTACATCATTTCGGGTCTACAATACTGTCAAACGGAAATTAATCACACAAAATTCATATGAGAGATCGAATAACTTTCAACTAATATAGATCCAGCTGCTTAGTTCTGTAACTCACAACTAGGTGTGTTCTGAGGATTGATCTTTTGTTCTATTTGATGATATATAGGACCTATACAGATGATAGAAAGAACACGACATATTGCCGGTTTTTATTGTTATTTTTACTTTTATTTAAATAAAATTAAACACAACAATAATAAAAAAACCGATAATGTTTGGCGTATTAAATAGAATTTCGAGTAGTTTCGTGTTCAATTCTCACTACATACAGTAGAGTTGTGAATTACAGAACTAAGCAGCTGGGTCTACATTATTAATTGAAAGTGATTCGACTACGCATATGAATTTTGTGCATTTAATTTCCGTTTGACAGTATTGCAGACCCGAAATGATGCATCATGTAACTAGTCTCCTATGTTGCGTGACTTATGAAAAACCCGTATAAATTGTATGTTTTTGTAGACATCTATATTGCTTTACATCTCAGAACTGGATAAATCAAAAATTTTGAAACAAATATTTAATTATTTTTATTGAAATCATAAATTATATAAATAAAATAATAGATATTTTGAATTTAAAATTTAATATAATTTAGTTAGCATAAAACTTTATTGTTGGGATGCATACTTACATTCAAAAATGAACATTACATTAGATAAGTATTATATAATTATATAATCATTTTGTACATAATCATAACTGTACAATTACAATAATTGTTTTTTTTTTCGTAGGAAGTTGATATAGCTTTTCCTATAGGACTAAATTATAAAATATACGAAGACGTTGATATTACACCTCCAACTCATTTGACAGAAGTTAAGTTTCTAATTTCTTCTGCAGAAGGGATATCAAAAATCTATGCACTAATTAGAATTCTAAATTTCGAAGTAAGTTGAATAATTTACAAATTAAATTTCAACTGATCTAACAAATATTTAATGTTTTAGGTATGGATAGCTGCCATTTTCGCTACATTAATTAGTACAGTAATATTTTATAAAATATTTTCTTTCGAAGCAAGACTATACAAAAGAAATCCTCCACCACTTTTAAATGTGTTTTGGACGTTATTAGGAACATTCACAAATCAAGGTAAAGAAGCTTTAATAAATTTGGATTTCGTTTATAAAAAAAAATATTTTTAGTTAATGTTTTAATTTTATTTAAAATTTATATTATCAGTAGCCTATGTGTAATTATGTAACAGGACAAGTATTAATTTACTATATACTTTAATTTTTAAATAAAATATAACAGCTTTTAAAAATATTTAAAATTTTAAACCTAAAGTATACCAGAAAATCGATGTTTTTACACTAAACTTCATGACAATAATTTTACCTTTTTGTATGTTTATAGATCTATATTATATTTTTAATATTTTGGTTCAATTCCCATATGTCGTTTAATCATTATATACAAATATTTATCGCATGTTCTCTTTGATACAGCTAATAAAAGGTAATGGAAATTCATATCCGCGATATTTTTAGGTCTATGTGTACTGTACTAATAACAAATCTCATTCAGAATTTTATCTAGAAATTTAATATTTTATTTTTAAAAACATATGAATGTTGCAAAATTTTAATTATAAGTATATTAATAATCTAAATCACACCAAGAGAAAAGTCACTATAATTAATCTCAGCAGTCATAAGATGATTACTGACTAATTAGTAGTTACAAGTATAGGCTATTTATATACGTGGAATTTTATACTGAATTTATCATTTAGGTGTTAAGTCTGAAGATATTGTTTTCTTTTGTTTCTTTTATTTACGTTACAGAAGAATTGCTTGAATAATTTTTATTCAGTTTGTCTTGATTAGAAATACAATAAAAATATTAATGCAATATGTTGTTTTTTTATAGGAAGTCATTTATTTGAATATCACGGACTTTCTACTCGAATTATAATTATAGGATGGATTACTCCAATATCAGTTCTTGTTGCAAGTTATAGTGCTGCATTGATGTCATTTATCACTCACCCTGGACATGAAAGCATACCAGAAACATTTAACGATCTGGTTAGAAGTATCGAAAATAGACAATTTACTGCTAGTACAATGGTAAACAGTGCAATAGATCACTTTATTGTGGTAAATATCGTTTATAAATAAATCAAAATTTAAATATCTCACTTAAGAATAAAAATAAACCCTGTGTAATAAGTATAATATGAATTTATAGACCTAATTAAATTATCGCTTTTAATTTTATATTAGAGTTCAACTGAAGGTTTACCGTTTCGACTGAAAACGCAAATGCTCATGAGCAGAATTACTGTTCTTAATGTTCAGAATAAAGAAGAATATGAACGGGTATTGAAAGAAAAGCATGCTGTGATATTTTATGACAGTACACTTATAATAAATGCTGATAAAATCGGATTGGAACAATTTTTTATGTCTGAAGATAATTTGTTCTGTTCTATTCAAGTTTGGGGGATGAGAAACGGTTTCGTTTTTAAAGAAAAATTCAACAAATTGTAAGTAAAACGAAAATAAATTTTAAAAACTATATAAAATTTAAATTTTTAATTTTTGTTTCAGAATATCATATAGTTTTGAAGGTGGATTTTTTCATAAATTTTTGGCAGATGAAATGAATAAAGTGAGAAGAATGAGAGAAACAAATATAAATATAGACCATAATATTGATAATTCTCTAAGCTTACATGATACTGCTGGAGCATTTACCATTCTTATAATCGGATATATAATTTCTGTTTTCTCATTTTTTCTAGAGAAATGTTTTCGAAAATAACAGATTATATGTATATTTAATAATTCAATAAAAGTCACGGAAAAATAAAGACTTTATAAAAATTACACGTTATAAAAATGTTTAAGATGATCGACAATGTATAATTTAAGAATTTGAATCTGTATATAAATAAATTATATATCGAAACTTATTCAAAACACTAAATTTTTTCATCTGTTTATTTTATTTTTGCATTTATATAATAAAAGTAAAATATGCTAATCCAGTAAATTAATATCTACAATAGGCCTATACCTTCAAGATAAGATGATTAATTTCTTAATCATCATTATTACAATTTTTAAAAAATTCAGCAACGAGTTGTGTAACTTTCCCGGTAACATTTAAAACTGCGTGTGGTGTTATCTGTTATGATATTTTAATTTTTTTTAGTTTATATTATTAATTATTATAAAATGGTAAAAGGTTAATTTTGAGATTAGAGATGAGTTTTATAAAAAATTGTAAATGATAATAACGAGTAAAATCTTCATTAAGTTCGATAAATGACACATGAACCCATTCCATCTATCTCCCTACCCAATTGACCTTTAACTACAAAATTTAATAACATCAATCCTCCTAATACACGAACCTCCTGCAAAATTTTAGAAACTTTCGCAAAAAGCACGGGAGTTATTAAGCTTCAAGGAGGATGGACAAAATCGTGCTAACGCAAACACAAACATCCATACATACAGTAAAAAGAAAACCCCGATTTTTGGATTTCTTGACGTTTTAAGGTCTCCTCAGTCCAGAAATGTAAAATTCTTGGAATCGCCATACTTTCTCTCTGCTATATATATATATATAACAGAATTGGGAAAGTAACTAGTCGTAGAGATCAATGTAAATTGACAGCAATCGAAAACTCAATTGACTTGTATCACGCGACCAGCTTACAATCGACAATCGGTCCGTTGAGTTTACATGGCAAACTTTGACCTCGAATATCTCAACCCATAGATCGAATTTCAAACTTTCGTTTTCGTGATGACATGGGCCTTGCCGAGTTATACATACTGTATTTGCAAAAAAATCATGTTTAATTGTTGGGCAGTTGCTTTTAACCTCGATTACAGACAAAACACTTTTCGACTTAAGCACCGCTCAATTATTTTTATATTTACCACTATTGATGAGAATAAGACTTAAATTTATAAACTATACAAAATAAATTACAGATTTTATAATCAATAAATGCTTGCCAAATCAATAAAATTTCTTCGTGTATAATCTTATGATCATATTTATATATAAATTATTACGCTATTATACGTTCTCTTCCTATATTGAGATTTTGCCTCGTTAAAGGAAATTTCATCAAAAAGAATGTTTCATTATAGTAAAATCCGTTCATTAAATTTTATATAGTTATTATTATAATTAAAAGTTAAGCTTTACATATTAACATATAATTAATTTATAATAAATTAACAGAAGTATTCTAATTTATGATGCTATAAGAATTAATAATAAAGAATAAACTTGCATTTTTAAAGATATACTTTAGAATAAGTTCGAAAATTATGAATAATGATTTTAAATATTCATAAATTAAATGGTGATAATGCTTAGATAACAATAGGTCATCGTAAATGCGTGTTATTTGGAGAATAATGTTAGCAAACAGGTGTCAGGAAAAATAAAATTCACAAAGCAATTGATATTGACAGAAGCAAAATGCTTTTTATCAATAGTATAAAAATAAAGGATAGCAAATGTTATACATTGGTGTTTTAGGAAACATTTTTCAAAATTTTTCAATTATAGAGGATAATTAATCATTTATTAATAGTACAAAAATCTATTCTTAGGAGAATAAGATTTTTCTGACTTGCTTAGTAAGTACATTATTTGATTTTTACAAATTAATTTAAGTAATTTATCGATTTCTGTTTCCTTAGTGCATTTAATAACTAGAGAAATAAAAGTTATGAATTTTAATCATAGATAAGCAAACTATTACATAAAATTAACATTAAACAGTTTTATAATTAGGAGAAAATTAGATAATTACCATAGGAACATTACATTTTATACTCAGAAAAACTATGAATAAACGCATAACGTTCATAATAGATTTTCAAATAAGTTCATTTTGTAAATTTAGTTTTCAAAGTTTTCTAAAATACAATATATGCTTTATTTCACTTTAAAAACTGGAAACTTTATTGCTGGACTTTTCCCGGCCTTATTTACAGTATTTGTCTTCATCCCTAATAATTGCTACCGTTAACTTTATATCTTCAGATTTACATGAAATTACTAATAAGAATTACTCGTAAAATAAAGGCCATTTCACGATTTTAAAAATATTACCCTTCACTATTTCTTTAAGGAAATATCAATATACTATATGTATTATATTAGATTATTTATTTATTTTTATTAATATAATTTAATATTAATACATAAACTTATAGAAAAAATATAATATTGTGTAACGGGATGAGAAACGGTTTCGTTTTTAAAGAAAAATTCAACAAATTGTAAGTAAAACGAAAATAAATTTTAAAAACTATATAAAATTTAAATTTTTAATTTTTGTTTCAGAATATCATATAGTTTTGAAGGTGGATTTTTTCATAAATTTTTGGCAGATGAAATGAATAAAGTGAGAAGAATGAGAGAAACAAATATAAATATAGACCATAATATTGATAATTCTCTAAGCTTACATGATACTGCTGGAGCATTTACCATTCTTATAATCGGATATATAATTTCTGTTTTCTCATTTTTTCTAGAGAAATGTTTTCGAAAATAACAGATTATATGTATATTTAATAATTCAATAAAAGTCACGGAAAAATAAAGACTTTATAAAAATTACACGTTATAAAAATGTTTAAGATGATCGACAATGTATAATTTAAGAATTTGAATCTGTATATAAATAAATTATATATCGAAACTTATTCAAAACACTAAATTTTTTCATCTGTTTATTTTATTTTTGCATTTATATAATAAAAGTAAAATATGCTAATCCAGTAAATTAATATCTACAATAGGCCTATACCTTCAAGATAAGATGATTAATTTCTTAATCATCATTATTACAATTTTTAAAAAATTCAGCAACGAGTTGTGTAACTTTCCCGGTAACATTTAAAACTGCGTGTGGTGTTATCTGTTATGATATTTTAATTTTTTTTAGTTTATATTATTAATTATTATAAAATGGTAAAAGGTTAATTTTGAGATTAGAGATGAGTTTTATAAAAAATTGTAAATGATAATAACGAGTAAAATCTTCATTAAGTTCGATAAATGACACATGAACCCATTCCATCTATCTCCCTACCCAATTGACCTTTAACTACAAAATTTAATAACATCAATCCTCCTAATACACGAACCTCCTGCAAANACAATAAAAACACTACACTCAACAAGCCACCAATAAAACTCAACTGCCTAACCTATAACCAAAGTCTCCTTTTAATTTGTTTTTAAAAAAAAGCGCTTGACAAACTTGCCCCGCATGCCGAAGTTGCCCCGGTCTCCCCTATATGCAAGGCCGCTTGGTGTATATGAACTTTGTTCGTGCAGACTTTAAAAAACCGACTCCTCTAAAGTCACTGAAAATAGTTTAAAAACTAAAAATTTTTATAATTATAATATATATTTCACTATTGACTACAATAGTAATTACAGAAAACAAAACATATAAAAAGTAGTGTGTAATTACAGTATATGTATAACAAAATACTTTTGGATTAAGTATACATAAAAAATGCATAGAGTAATTCAGAGATAGATAGCCATACGGGAGAGATTTCCCGTCTCTGTGATTCCGAAAATAAACATTAGAGATCCGAGACACGCTACTCAATGAGAATGGAACAACTGCAGTGGAAGGTATACATTGCGATGTAGTACGAAATAATGATATCTTTCTGATAAGAGTAAAATAAATGATCTGTCTGGTATATCGTAAATATTTTACCTGGCATATAGAAAGGCGTGCAGGTATAACGTATAACGAAGCAAAAATCGGCGAAAACAATCATGTATAATCAGTAGCGCGTTATCATATGGGCAAAAAAAGACAATTGATTTTTTATAGATTTTCCAGATTAAATAAATTTCTCCTCTGTTAAGAACGCTCAGGTACGGGTGAGATCTGAGATAGGACGAAAAGTGCAGACAGAGCCTCTCCACGGTAAAGAAATTACCAAGGAAACATCCGATCTCCGATTATTCCAACTTATCCTTGATTGTTAGTGTGTCAATCGGTCAGTGTGGTGCCGTGATAAATTGCATTTTTTGTAAATAACTTGTATATAACGAACGAGTTGAATGTGGAGGTGCATTTCCTATGAACCTACGATAAATTTTGGAACATCTCTGAGGAGACTGAGGACAGAGACGGAATTTTACTGAAATAAAGAATTTTGTATCATTTTATTGACGACATTAAGTTTACTTAAAATATCATGTCATATAAATTTTATTCTACATATAATCAATTAAAATGCTACCATTTTGATTAGTCACCCTTGTGCAATGAGCAACTTGCACACAGTGGCTCTGATTGTTTACAGGTTCTGACAAGTAAAGAATTTTCAGAGTCCTGTCACAAATAGGCTACATATTGATTATTGACAATCTGTGACATGCCATAACGAGGAAAAAAAACTAATAATAAATAGGTTTAAAATTAATAAATACAAATGTATTCTGACAGTTTATGAGTTAATAATACTTTCTATTTGCAAAATTTTCCTCAACCTTAACACAAAATAAGAAAAAAGGTGAACTTTTAAGAAATTTGCGGAATTTTCCCGGGATGAAAAGAATTTTTCGGGATATTTCCCGGGTTAAAAAATAAACCGGAATCCCGTTTGGGAAACCCTAATATATAGAGTATGTTGTAATATATATCGTTGACGAAATTGTATCTTTATGCCTAACAAAGTTATACTGATTTATAATGTATACTTTTTTAAAATGTGCCCATATATCTATCTTAGCAGTTCTCTTTTCTACGTAATAAGTGAAGATAAAATGAGATTAAACTGAGAT